GACTGAACTAATTTACATTCCCACTAACAGAGTATAAACATTCTGTTTTCTCCATAGCCTTGACAGTATTTGTTATTTATTGACTTTTTAGTAATAGCCATTTTGATCGGTGTGAGATGGTATATCATTGTGGTTTTGATTTACAGTTCCCTGATGATCAGAAATGTTGAGCATTTTCTTGTATGTTTGCTGGCTGCTTGTATGTCTTCTTTTGAGAAGTGTCTGTCCATGTCCTTTGCCCACTTTTTAATGGGGTTGTTTCTTGCTTGTTGCATTAAGTTCCTCATAGATTTTTTTATGTGACCTTTGACAGATGCATAGTTTGCAAATATTTTCTCCTATCCTCTAGGTTATCTGTTAATTCTATGGATAGTTTGTTTTGCTGTGCAGAAGCTCTTTAGTTAAATTCATTAGTTTAATTTAGTTTAGGTTCCGCTTGTCAATTTTGGTTTCTGTTGCAATTGCTTTTGAGGACTTAGTGATGAATTATTTGCCAAGACCATTGTCCAGAATGATATATCCTAGGTTTTCTTCTAGGATTTTTATATTTTGAGGTCTTATATTAATCTTTAATCCATTTTAATTTTTGTATTGGCATAAGGTAGGGGTCCAGCTTCATTCTTCTGAATGTGGCTAGCCAGTTATCCCAGAATCATTATTGAATAAGGAATCCTTTCTCCATTGCTTATTTTTGTTGACTTTGCTAAAGATCATATGGTTATAGATGTGCAGCTTTATTTTTGGGCTCTCAATTCTGTTTCGTTGGCTTATGTGTCTGTTTTTGTAATGTGTACTACAATGGCTTTTTAATGTGTACTAAAATAGTCGTTTCTAGGACCTTTTGTGTGCAATGTGTGTGCCCAGAGGTACCAGTAAAAACCCTGCCTCGCCTTCTGTTTCAGTTTGCTACAACTGACGCTGTCTCTACTTCCTACCAAAGCTCTCTTGAGCTTTCCTGTGCCTTTGCCTCCAGCCCACACTGCAAGTCCTTAGTGCCAGATCTCTCTTGATGATGCAAATACATCTGGGGAAGCCCATTTCTGACTCCACTTTAACTGGCTGGAATTAGAATGCTTTTTGAACTTGTACACAAAATATCAGAAATCTTATCCAACTTGATTTTCAAAGAATGGAGTTTATAAAGATATAGACCTTTTAGTCCATATTGGTATGTCTTAGTTACTGAACAGAATCAAAACATTCCATTTTTCTATAAAACCAAGATAACTATGAAAAAGCGGTTTTTCATATCAACTGATCTATAGAGGCTTATGTTCAGCATAACCTACTTGGTAAGTTCAAACTGGGGATGGAAACAGGTCAGGATGCTAATAAAGTGAAATAAACTTTTTTTTTTTTTTTTTTGAAATGGAGTCTCGCTCTGTTGCCAGGCTGGAGTGCAGTGGTGCAACCTCGGCTCACTGCAACCTTTGTCTCCCAGGTTCAAGTGATTCTCCTGCCTCAGCCTCCGGAGGAGCCGGGACTACAGGCACCCGCCACCATGCCCAGCTAATTTCTAATTTTTGTATTGTTAGTAGAGACAGGGTTTCACCATGTTGGCCAGAATGGTATTGCTCTCTTGACCTTGTGATCTGCCCGCCTCGGCTTCCTAAAATGCTGGGATTACAGGCGTGAGCCACCGCACCCGCCAATAAACTCTTCGGTAACCTGCTTTATGCAATAGAGTCCCTGTGCCCTAAAGTTGTCTTAGAAAAGACAGCCTAAGTAGTTACTATACTTTGGACCTCACAGCCCAAGTATATCACACCATCAATATTCTCTTTAAAAGACAGGGGTGAGGTTTTATAAAAGTATGTTTTAAACAAATGCCAGTAGGAAATTCAAAGTTGGATAATTCATATTGCTGCTGTAACTTATTTTCACTTAAAAAGAAAAAATCGTAGAAAATGGAGCATCATTGCCTGCAGGTACAGACATGTATGGTGTCTGAGATCATTGTTATTCTCTTCCTCTCATTTTTCTCCCATATCATCTTAATGGAATAATTACATCATTCTTTACTTGTACATAATTCAGGCAAGCTAAGCACAACCTCTAATATGTTTCTTCAGAGGGAAAAAACCCACACATAATGATTAAAGAATAAGTTACTGTAAGTAGCAAGTATTCCAGGTTTGGGGAGAAAGTGTAGGAGATGATTCCCTCGGAAATGGACACCGATGGGTGGTAATGTGTGTGGGAACAAGAGTGATTCCATCTTAGATGCTAGTCCGCCATGTTGACTCCTGACTAACCCTGAGTCTGGGAATGCCTCCAAGATGTCTAGTTGATGATTTACTCTCTATGTAGAAACACTTATTTACTCTGAATTTCCCCTTTCCTCCACAACCACCTTTGATCTTGTTGCATACATCACCCATAGCTGTGACACCCATAGCATTCTTTCAGCCACCCACTCATTCCTTCCAGAGCAAATACACTTTTCCCCCAGGATATAGCAACCCTGGATCTGGAAGGCTGTAGTGCGAAGGCCTACTTTTCTTGTGGCCGCTCAAGACCATGCTTCTGTCTGTAAGTTCTCCAGTAAAGCACCCTTTGCCAACAAACTGGATTTTTCTGCTCTGTTCTTTGGTTTCTTGGCTCCTTCTGCGTTTAGTGGACACTTTGCATGTATGGCCCTTTCATGGAACAATGTGAAACTTATAACATTCAGTATTTTGGGACGATCTACTTTAAGAGATGTTCTGTAAATGATTTGCTGTGTAGGCCATGACATTTCCTCAGGCTCACCACTGAAACATCAACCTACTATAAAATGATAAAACATGAGCTTTAAATGTGAGCACTCTAACATATTTATATGAAAGACACAACAGATGGGCAGAAAGAAACACTGAGAATGGGAATATTTTTTTCTTTTTAAATTCTTTTTTTTTTTTTTTTAGATGGAGTCTCACTGTGTCACCCAGGCTAGAGTGCAGTGGCACGATCTTGGCTGACTGCAACCTCCAATTCCCAGGTTCAAGTGATTCTCCTGTCTCAGCCCCCCAGGTAAGCTGGGATTACAGGTGCACCCTACCACACTCTGGCTAATTTTTGCATTTTTAGTAGAGATGGGGTTTTGTCATGTTGGCCAGGCTGGTCTCGAACTCCTGACCTCAGATGATCCGCCCACCTCAGCCTCCCAAAGTGCTGGGATTATAGGCGTGACCCACTGTGCCTGGCTGGGAATTTGCTTTTCAACAGGGAAAAGAGACAGTGTATCTGCCAGGTAATAATGATGACAAGCACAAAACACTGATTTCAAGGTACTGAGTATGTGAGAGGACCAATACTAGTTTCCTTAGGTATATTAATCTGAATTATTTTAACAACTTCAGAGAGTCAATATCATGATTTCTGTTTGAAAAGTGAGCAAACTGAGGCTCAGAGGTGTTGCATGCCTTGCCTAAAGTCACACAGTCGGTATGTGGTTATGACAGCATTTATGGTCAGGTCTGTCTGCCTCCAATGCCTGGGTTTTTCCTCTATGAGCTCCCTCTTAGCTGTTCCAGTGTTCCTCCTCTAGAATTTTATATTCTTTAGTGAGACAATCTCCAGGCATTATCCTAGGTTGAATAAAATGCTCCATAAAGTTCTCCAGCTCAGATCTACAAATCAGTAGTTGTTTTGTAAAATAACTTCTTTCTCCAAGGACCTCAGTTTTGAGGAATGTGTGCCCTGGACGAAGAAACTGACATTCTCGCTACTGGAAAGAAATAATTTTGTCTCCATATTAATTTTTCGGTATTCTGGTTTTTAGACTTTTTTTTTCATGAGTTATGTTAGTTTTGACTCTTTTGACTAGAGCCTGACCATTCTTGGATGATCTACTAAATTCAAGTTTCTGAAATGACACACATGAGAGATAGCTTTATTGATTTTCTGCGAATTTTCTTGTATTTTTTCTTCTTACAAAAATGTCTCTCCAGGAGCAATACCAAAGAAAGACAAGCTGCCGCAAAGCTTCTCACTGCCTTTGTATATTATGCTAGCTCCTCTGCCTCAAACACTTGCCCTGCCTTCTCATCTGAAAAATCATTCTTCTTAAATCCAGCTCAAATGCTACCAGTTCTTTTGCGAAATCATTCTGGAAGACCCTAGGGAAAGTCAATTTCTCGTTCTTTTAAACATTCGTATAATTTTGCATATACCACTCTCCTAGTCACTTGACACTCTACAGTAACTCCTGTATAATTCTACTTTCCCATCTAGCCTATGAGCTACCCAATGGTGTCAAACAACTCGGTCACCTTTGCGAACCTAGCATCTTCTACTGCACCTGGCGTAGGAAGAAAAATACTCAATAAACACTTGCAGAAATGACATCTAAAAACCATGCCATCTTGTCTTTGAAAACTGTACTGTTCAGGAAGATCTAAGAAGATGAATACTTAGTAGGGGCTCTTTTTCTCCTTGAAGCTTGACTAAAATAATGGTTGTTGAACCAAGTTTGTTCTAAGTTCACTGAACTTGATTTATTAGCATTGAATTTCCTTTTTTAGCCTTTTTTTCTTTTTTTTTGCTTGTAATTGGCCTCTCCATGTTTAACACAACCCTCCACTTATAAAAATCATAGGATGCTTCATAGAACAGTGAGAAAAGTGGACCCTCGGGAAGTCAAGGGACTTACCAAAAATCACACAGCTAAGTGGGAGAGTTGAACTAGAACTTTGGTTCTATGCGCCTCTTTTTTATTCTTTCTAGTAGGTCAGGTTGCTCTGACAAAATAATAACCCCTTTAATCTTCTTTATAGCTCTTTGACCTAATCAGAAGGCTTTCTTTAATAGTTGCAGAGGGCACCATACCACAGAAAAAGTTGTCACGAGGTTTGGTAACTTTCCAAACAAAGTCGCTTATAAATTAAACGTTAAAAATATTGGCCCCATCCTGAGAATTGTGGTTTCCTTTTCTTAATGAAAAAAGCAATAAAATGCAAGTACATATCCATCTGGACATACAGGCTGTCAATAATAAAATAATGAGAGATGGCACTGACCATAATCTGTGTTTTCCGGCTCCCAACAATTTGATGGCCAAAAATAGGGCGTCTGTGGAATGAAAAGAAGTGGAACCCAGGTTAGACAAATAAAAAATTAGTGGAGTTTCTGGCTGGTGAACTGTATTTATCTTCCACAATTCTCTATTTGTTTGCTATATGTTTTATAATACAGAACATGTTCCAAGAGAGACATTGTAAACTCTTTGTCTACATTTACTTTGCTGACCAATTGCTCAGCTTCTAAATATGGGTAGCAAGCAGGTATTTAACATGTCATCCCTTTGCTGTAATTTTGCACCAACTGACATAAAGGCAAAAAGGTCTGATTGTATCATTCAAACAAAAAGCATTCATCCACAGAGAGGACTGAAAGAGTATTATGTTCAGCACGACTCAGGATGAAATACATTTAAATATAACATTGTTTTCTGTGAATCATGTATCTCAACACTGCTTTTGGTAGCTCAAAAAAGTTCAACCAACCGAAAGACTCTTTCTCTGAGATCTGACAATGATTTCCCTGGCTCCATTAGTCATATAATGCGGTTCTCAGCATTGTCCAATGAGATTAAAGCAACTTTTTACTCTCACTTTTAAAGACATTTCCTAATTTCCTCTTGTAACTAATTTCTACCATTTAGTAGTGCAACAGGGTGACTCCAGTCAACAGTAACTTCATTATACATTTGAAAATAACTAAGAGTGTAACTGGATTGTTTGTAGCACAAACAATAAATGCTTGAGGAAACAGATATCCCATTCTCCATGATGTGATGACTTCACGTTGCATCCTTGTATTAAAACACCTCCTGTGTTTCATAAATATATACGCCTATTATGTACTCACAAAAATTAAAATTAAAAATTTAAATTAACCTTCAAAAAAGAAATAAAAATAAAAACATTTCCTTACAAAGACACCTATTGCTCTAAAGTTTTAAACTACACAAATCAGAGATCTTTTTTTAAAGGAATAGTGTCTTAATTGAGTGATATAATCTATAATAGGCAGAATCTGGATTCTGTAGAATTCTAGAAACTGATTGACTAAACTACAAAGAAAATGTCTGACCGAGAAAAACTTTATTATTATCATTAACATTTATATTTTCTAAAAGGACGTTCCTAGCCCTGCTAGTTGAACATGCCTGGCTCCTGACCACAAGGAAACTTGAGGATCACCTGTCTCCTTATCAACCTCCAGTCCCTGGAATGATGAGGCCTGTAGGACTCACTGTAACAGTGATGGCAAATATCAGAACTGTGGGCTTAATTCTATCTGTTAGCTAATTATACTAACTGGCCATGTGCAATGAGAATATTTGGAGTCACCTCTGATTATCTTATCATTTTCTCCTCTAGAAGAGAGACTTTAAGGAGGGAAAATGGGTAGATAGGAAGAACTGTTTGAATCTCTACAGAAAAGCCTTTCCAAACTGACTGAGAGTTCCCCCGACCACCATCACCCAGGGATTTTGACTTACCCTCTGTTCTTTCTTGGAAATTATAGTAGTAAAATAAAGAAGGCTACTAATAGTAGTTTCGTGAACATGAGAACAAAATCATTGTAGGAATTTTGAAGAAAAAAGAAAAGATTGAACCGCTAGACAAAAGAGGATAGTAAGACTTTATACGGGTCACCCTCAGCACCCCAATCTCACTTCACCCCATGGGAGATGAAGCTTCAAGAATTTGATTTCTTAAAAATAAAACTGAATCAGGATTCTAGGGGAGCCATAGGGGTCAAAGAAGTTAAAACTTTGCTTTCATGTAGGGTGTTACTTTTTGAGATGCTTCTTATGGAACGTGCAGTTCCCCGGGTTGTTTCTATATTTTGGGGAGTATGTATGTGTATGTGTCGGTGTGTGTGCAGGTGTATCTATTTCTCTAAACTTAAAATACCTATTCTAGTCAGACCAGTCAGACATATACCTTTTTTCCACAAAAGCACAAAAAATATTCTCAACTGCATTCTTATACTTTTCTTCATTCTTCAACATTTATTTTCATGAGAATTTAATGACAGTAAAATTAAAGCATAAAGCAATTTTTTCTTGTGATATTATGTGGAAATGCCACTAAACTGATGTTCTTCACTAATATTGGAAGATTTTTTCTAAGAAGTAATGCTTTGATTTGTAGTAAAATGTAAGAGAACAACAAACTCATAGTTTTTTGGAATTTAAATACATACTTTTATAGTTCTACCATACATTAGGACATTTTAATGCATGAGTTTCTTGATTTTTCAATATTGGTTTCCTTAGCTAGGATGAAACTCATCCAAAACTGTTCAACTGTTGTTCAGTAACTGCTGGAGCATAAACTAATATATTGAAAGTCACAAAAGAGAGCTAAAGAATCACAGCAGATCTCAATTTCAATTAGCTAAGAGAGGATATTAGACAATTGTGACTTTATAGTAAATTTTAAAAATTACATGACGAAGACATGTACTACAAATTTGAGACAAATATACAAACTGTCATGCCAGTGAAGTCAATATTTCTGTTTGTCTCAAACTAATGCTTTGAAGACTCTTCAATTTTTTTTTTTGTTTGTTTTTTTAAATTTTGAGACAGAGTCTCTTATTCTGTTGCAAGGCTGCAAGTGCAGTGGTGTGATCTCGGCTTGTTGCAACCTCTGCCTCCCGGGTTCAAGTGATTCTCCCGCCTCAGCCTCCCAAGTAGCTGGGATTACAAGCATGCACCACCACGCCCAGCTAATTTTTGTATTTTTAGTAGAGACGAGGATGGTGTCCATCTCTTGACCTCACAATCCACCTGCCTCGGCCTCCCAAAGTGCTGGGATCACAGGTGTGAGTCACTGTGCCTGGCCTAGATTCTTAATGATGGTTAGACTCTCAGTCATTCACTAGAGAATTTGTAAACACAGTATCCCAAGTTTTCTATTTGAATTTGTGATTTTAAAATATCCTTCTAAGGAGTTGAATTTCACTTCAGTGTAATAAAGAACTTTCACTGTTTGGAACCAACATAAAAGTAGAAGTGAACACCTTGAATAATAATGTGTGTTCCATCATTAGAGCTCTCCCAGTACAGACTGATTAATGACTTGGTAGACATTATAGTAGAAATCCAGTTACCTCTGACTTTCCTGGTGTTTTTTAAAACCTTGGTTTTAGAATTCTAATATTATTAGATTTACAAATGTGTTGTATTTAGACACTATTTCAAATATGGATGCATCATTAAAATAAGTAACATCTAATATTTAGCGCTAATGTCATTTTAATGTGTATATGTATGGATAATGTTTATTTTATATCTGCCTATTTATCTGAGTACACTGAACTTGACAACTCTGTCTATCCCTAGCAGTTATGTAATTCATATGTCATTTGTACCCATTCCCTTGCTTTGTTCTAAAGCCCCTTTAAAAATTCCCTCCTTTTCTCTTGTGTGTATGGTGATCCCTTCTTTTACATGGATTTTTCTTTTTTTTTTTGAGAGAGTCCCACTCTATCGCCCAGGCTGGAGTGTGGTGGCACAATCTCGGCTCACTGCAACCTCTGCCTCCCAGGTTCAAGCTATTCTCCTGCCTCAGCCTCCCGAGTAGCTGGGATTACAGGCATAGGTATATGCCACCACACCCAGCTAATCCAGCTGATTTTTTTTTTTTTTCAGTAGAGATGGGGTTTCACCATGTTGGCCAGGCTGGTCTCGAGCTCCTAACCTCAAGTGATGAGTCTGCCTTGGCTTCCCAAAGTGCTGGGATTACAGGTATGAGCCACTGTGCCCGGCCTCATGTGAGATTTTAGACCCATGAGCATGACTAAGACATGTAAACCTCGTCTGCCTACTACCTTTTTTCTGGGAATAGAGATTTCTTTAAAAATCAGGAAGCATTAATCACATATAAACAATTTATTTGCCAATCACCAATAATTCCTAGTTGTTAAAAATTTAACTTTGGGACCACAAGTTACTTTAATAATATGCTATTTTAAGCTACCATTAGTGTAAGTTTAGCTGTATAAAGCATAAAGCTCCATTAATGTAAAGCTTTTGCAAGTTAAGTAATTTAACTAAGCGCTTGATAACTTAGGTCAGTATCACAGTTTCAGGAGATGGTTTTATTTCCTTCTGGCTCTTAAGTGCAAAACTGTCCTATGATTATTTGCCTTGGGAGAACTGAGTCCTAAGGAAGGAGCAGTGAGACTGTTCTATGAGGACAATAATCTTTAAAATGATTTTTTAAAGCAAATGATTAAAGTGATTTTTAAAGCATATTTCCTCTTTGTTCTCGGTTTTCCCAAACAAATTTTAGGCACTCCGATTACTATTCAGTCATTTATGTAGACATAGAGCATTCAATAATATTTAGAACAAGTGAGAAGAAGGCTCTAAAGTCTGAAAGTTGGACCATGGGGAGAACCCTCCAGCAAATACCTGTTGGAAATGGGTTAGAGTTTGACATCTGGCATTTTATGTGCCTAAATTTTACAGTCTAGAATCTGCTAGTCAGTTATTAATGAGCCATAATGTCTACTGAAATGTAGAATACACTTTAGGTAAATCAGTGTGAACTCCAGTGTCAAATATACTTACGATGACTGAAATTAGAGTCCACAGTCATTGCCTGAAAGAATAATTGCATCTGTGTCATTTGCAAATGACCTAGAATGACTCTTATCAGTTTGCAAGTTATCTGAGGTGTCCTGTTGCAGTTGAGTGCACACACACAATATATCATCATGTCAGTCTTCACAGACTTGTAGAAGAGCCTGGATGCCAAGAATTTATATAATTAGCTGAATCCTATCTGGAGCTTCAGACAGTCCCATTAACATTTACTTGGGCTGAAGATGGTCTGGATCACAGGCAAAGGTCAGACAGAGGAAGACTCTCTGGTCTTCCCAAATGCCATTAAGTCACTTTCTGAATTTCCCTTAAGCTTTTCATATAAAACAGAACTTCAATCATCACACCATTTAGCTTTCACACATCATCTTGACTAAGCATACTTTATCTTTCTCTGTGTTTATTGCTTGTCATGTCTTTAATGTTAATCGGTTTCTAACTAGCCTAAGTCAAAGTAAAATAAGTCATAGTTTTTAAAAGTTCTGTTCAAAAGAAACCTAATGAACAAGTGAAATGCAGGCTTCTAGTTTACTGTTAAAGAACGTTTCTATTAAACTTACTTGAAACCGGTAAAAGGTGCCATCATCCTTGAGTGTGAGGACATGATCTGAGATTGGAAAGAAGTAGCCATGGGCAGCCATTAATGTTCCCAAATGGAGCGCCTCCACTGTTTTATGAAAACAAACAAAGAACATAAAAAATCCTTTTAAATGTATTCATTTATAGGAATGTAACGTTTTTGTGTGGTTCCTTTTGTCAGATACAGTAAGTTCCTCTTCAAAGATTTAATTTCTGACTTCCTTGTTCTTTGTTCTCGAGATCAACTTCCTTGTCCCTTCTCCTAAGCTATCTACTCTGTAAACAACTTCTCCTACCAGTCCCAGTCTGTAACTCACATCTCTTCCTTATTTGGAAAGAACTCTCTTTTACTCCTGGCTGCCCATTCTGTAAACTGCCCCTCCCACTGAAACAGATCTTCCCACTGAAACTACGCTTCCTGACTTTGCTGCGCCCTGACATGCTCAAACATGCCTTGTACCATAACGGACAGCCTCTCCCTTCCCACCTAATTAGCCATATTCAGTTTTAAACAGTAGCCAATTGGGTTAGTTTAGATTGTGTGGTACAACTCCAGCCAATGGGGACAGGACACAGGAGCAGGGACTAACAGTATTAGGGATAAAAACCCCTTCCCTCCTTTGTTCGGTGTGCTCTCGCAGCGGCCAGAAGTGTGAGCAGCACCCTTCTGCAGAAGTAAATTTGCCTTGCTGAGAAATCCTTTGTTTGAGTGCTTGTTTTCCTTGTGACTCTGAGCTCTTGTTTCTAACACTTTAGAGCACATTCTTGGTAGTCTGAAAACCTGACTTGGTGCTTTTACTTCTTTTTTCAGCTCTTTCATGCAAGATACTAACATGGTTCTAGTTCCTGGTAGCAAGTGCCATAACCAACCTCATCCCATGACAACCAGCCCATAAGAAGATAAAGTTAAGAGATGTTAAAATGGGGAGGCTCTTCTGAATCTGTAGAATCTGTCTCCCTGATTTTATAGACGTGTGTTGGCCCTGTGTTAATGTTCTCTCACAGGCAGTTGCATTTTGGCACTTATATATCACTTTAAACTTTTAAAAGTTTTCAATTGCATCACCTCATTCTCCATATCATAGCTATCTAGTACCATCAGTAATGTTTCTAATGATACGGACCATTATTTTGTGATGCTAACAGGGAATATTAAGGCATCAAGGACCACCTCTACTGCACTATTGAATCTACAGACTGGTGGTTGTAAAGATTGTTCTAGCTTTTACTACTCTATATAGTATTCTAAATATGGAGTGGGATAGAGTGGGAAGAGATTTATCGGACAATGGAAACATATAGCCTGAAAGTAAGGCTGTAATACTCATACTGTCTATAGCCGCCAACAATTTCTTCCAACAAAAGGGTTAACAAAATTTGGTCAATATTTACTACTGCATTGGTGCAGAGATGACATAAAGTTTTCTAACTTAAAGGCTAGAAAATATGAAACTATGCAAAATAGTTTTCTACCCCAACATAAAAATATATGTACAGTTGTCCCTTGGTATCCTCAGGGGATTGGTTTGAGGACCTTCACAGATACCAACCATCAAGGATGCTCAAGTTCTCCAGTTTGCCCTCCCACATCTGTGGATTTTTGATCATGGGTGGTTGAATCCACAGATGTGGAAGTCATAAAAGAGAGGGTCTACTATATTTAGAAAATATCAAAAAAGTTAGATTTATTTATCTGTTTATGTATCTTTACATACAATTCATTTATAAATTTACTTCTGTTTCTTAGTCAAAAAGGTAGGATTCTTACAGCAGTTCCAGGATGACATGGATCTATCTATATCTCCAGTCATCAACCATGGGGAGCTTTTACACCTCAGTAAGAACTGAGTAACTAAGCAGCTAGCTATGGTACAGCAAAGCATAAGAATCCCATCCTTCTACCCCTCACACCTACATAAATAAACAACTTGTTGTTAAATTTTTTTCTATTGTGGGGTACTATGATGCCCCTTGAAATTGTTATCTAGCATTTTGCAAACATTTCAGTTGATAACTTCTACCTCTGATCTCTCCCTGCATTGTTCTTGCTGATAATAAATAACAACTGCCAATTATTCTTCATTCTTTGCCCTGGCTTTGGAAGACTGTTACTAAGTGATCCAGCCATCACCTCCAAACTCCCAATCAAGTCTCTCTGTATAGAATGTTGTTTTGCTACAGAGGAGCATTTTTTCATCAATTGTGTGTGTGTGTGTGTGTATTTTCATCATTTCCACATCCTTTCAGTTCAAAGTCAAGGCCTTCTCAAAGCATGCATTGCTCATAGCAACATGCCTACCTATCCTTGTTAAAACTTTGGTGCCAGGGTGTCATTGTGGAAAGAACAAGAACTTTGGAGACACCCACTGTCTTCTGTTACTTTCATTCTCTGTGCCTCCCCCATCTATTAATAAAGGTCATAAACCCAACTGGCAGGATTGATGTGAGAATGACATAAGCCCACTCATAATGAAATTGGAATCGTGCTTCCAGCCTAGTAGATACTCTGTATATGGTAGCTACTGTGCTTCATTATTTACACACAAAATAATTTTTATTTTTCTAGAAACCACTTTCAGAGAATCTACTTCCATACATTTGCCCTCCACTAGGTTGAGTGAATATTTCCAACACACAGAAAAATAAATGTTTGAAGTGATAGATATGTTAATTATTCTGATTTGATCATTGCACATTTCAGGTACTGAAATATTACTCTGTACCCTTATAAATATGTAACAAAAGTTTTAAACAGCTAGGCTGAGTGAGGGAACCTGACAGTCCTAAACAGCCATGTTCATCAACATCATCTTATTCTTTTTTTTTTTTTTGACTGTCTGTAAAATTAAAATGATAAGAGGATCTATAAGGATAGTTGGCCCATAACAAATGAGCAGGTGCTTATAGTTCTGGTTAAATTCTGAGTTCCTAAGTACCCCTGTGGATGAATGAAGAATATGCCGTCCCAAAATACCCCAGATTGTTTCAAGTTGAAAACACTGGAGAAATTGTAGTTTCAGAAACGGCTAGCTGGCCTATCTCTTCCTATATGCAGTAAGCCATAAAGATTCCTCTGGGAGGAGTATCTTCCCCTTGCCAGGGCAAGAAAATAGCTCTTATCACCAGACACTGGGAGTTGGGGGCTGCGATGAACCTGAATAAAGGGCTGGGTGCGATGGCTCATGCCTGTAATCCTAGCACTTTGGGAGGCCAAGGTGGATGGATCACTTGAGGCCAGGAGTTCAAGACCACCCTGGCCAACCTGGTGAACCCTGTCTCTACTAAAAAAAAATAAAAAATAAAAAAATTAGCTGGGCATGGTGGCAGACGTCTGTAGTCCCAGCTACTTGGGAGGCTGAGGCATGAAAATCACTTGAATTTGGGAGGCGGAGGTTGTAATTAGTGGAGATCACACCACTGCACTCCAGTCTGGGCAACAGAGCAACACTGTCTCAAAAAATAAAATAAAATAAAATAAAATTTAAAAAAATTAAAATTAAGAAACTTAATCAAGTAACCCTTACTTTCCATTAGTTTTATACCCCCCATATATCCCCTAGTGATTCTGCTAGAAAATTTACTGCCTTCAGCCAGATTTTCTTTGTTCTGTCATTTTTTCCTTAAATTTATTATACTTTGTCTAAAAAGTATAGAAGTGTCTTGCTTTGGCCATTTCTTCAGACTTCACTCTCTTATGAAGATCCCCATGTGCGTGTAAAACTAATAAAATGTGTATGCTTTTCTCTATTAATCCTCTTGGTGTCCATTTGGTCTCCAGATCCACAGAAGAACTTAGGGCAGTTGCAGGTGATCTCTGACTTCCTTACACCTGTCAGGTAATATGGGGTGAAGCAACATGTAACATCCTTTGCAGGTCTTCAAAGTCAGATGGCCCATCTGTCTTCGTATAGCCATCTTTATTATTTTAGTCCCAGCAGTCTGTGGTCTGGGAAGATAGTGTTAGCACACTTTCCCGGAAGAGAAATTAAGTTATGGTGCATAAGGAAATCTGCAGAGTATAGATACAAGAAGGGAAAACTGAGATGCCCAGGAAGATAGACAGTAAGAGGAGCTTCTGAGTTCTAAGCACAGGAAAGAGTGTGACTAAAACCAAGCCAAGAAACAACAAAAAGCAGTTGGGTGTTAAAGTGTTGATGAGGATTAGAAAAATAGAGTGAAAGTAAATATAGAGATGCTACGAAAAAGAAAAACAGAAGTGAATGATCATAAGACTATTCTTGGCTCCTGCATCTCGTTAACTACTAATTTACAAGTTATATACTTCTAGAGTGTGAAGTGTATGTTGACAGGTTCTTCTTCCTGTGATACTACCATAATCAGGCATTAAGAAATGCTTGCAAATGAGAATGAGTGAATTAGTAAAATTCCTCTTCCTTTTTTGAGGTACAGTATTTTGGTTTGATTTGATGATATGCATTCTCATTTTACGCCTCTTCCGAGTGATACTTAACGTTCCATAACTTTATGATTAAGGAAAATTTGTTTTGATACTTTTGCATTATGTCATGAATTTAGTAGAAATATACTGGTGGTAATTTCTATATGAGTCACACATATTTCATATGTCAAAGTGAAATCAAACCTTCTGACTTAATGGTTAAGAGGATTGACCTTCTAACAATGCTTACAAATGGTTCTAAGATTTTTGGTCAAATAATCATCTAGAGGTACTGAAATAATAATAGATATTTTGTGTTCATTACAGGATCTCCAGAAAATATAGCTCCAGAGCAGGATAAATGCCTAGATGAAAAACCAGAAAGTTGGGGTGAGTTTTTTTGCTTCATTTAGGATGACAAGTTTAGCACTCAGCATATCCATGGCAAAAGTAGCAAGTGAATCAATATTTGCTGAATCAACGAACAAGGACATTTATGAGTAAATGACACACCAAGAATATTAAAATCCTAACATGCACAGAAAAACACCAGACTAATTATTGTGTCTGATAAGCTGTTGAGGTGGGGCTATTGTAGCTATTTTGTTGTGAGAAAAGATAATAGTGATATTCACATGATAAATGCCAGTAAGAGGTCTCAGAGTGGACTTGGGGCAGTATTCTCAAGA